AGCGGCTATCTGTAACCGAGTCTCTGCACAGTTAACGATGTGGTGTCATTGGACTCCTCAAGTCCTGTGTTTTGTTTTCTATTTTAAAGAATCGCAGATTCCCGCGACGGCAGTGTAGGCTGCCTTAACGCCTTCATTCGCTCTGTTCGCAAGAGTTCAGAACGATAACTGCATGCTGCAAGCGGCCGATGGCGTAGTGGATAAGCGCACAGCTTCAGAGACACGAGGTCGCATGTTGGTCCTTGACTCTCGAAAATTTTTGCTTTTATTCAAAACACATATGAGTCCCTAAAACGCTTCTGTTTGGCCAATTTACCTAGTTCTCTGATTTCCCTCAACGGATACGCCAGCTTCGGGCACAACATTACGACAAAGCGACAACTGGCTGTTTTTCGTGCGGAATGCCACGTGTTGGTAGATCATAATCATGGGTGCTGACCATATCGGGTAATTTTGCACAGAACACGTGGACAGGATTTCGTTCAAAACTAAAAAAATCATTATCGCTTCCTCTCTGAACTGGTTTAGAACTGTAACTGTACCGTGTGCGGGGAGTACTTCTGGCACTATTCAACTATTACTACCCCAAAGGATTCAAAATTTTTCGCTGAAACTTTGCCCGCTGGGGTAGTTCGGTGTCCTGATCACGAATATAGCACTCTTTACGGCGTTGGCGCCAATTTGGCGCTGCCGCATTTCTCACCAAATTCGACGTAAAGTTGCATAGTAGGGTTATTTGATGTCCTGATCATGAATACCGCATTAGTTCTCAGCGATGGCGCCATTTGACGCCAATACGATGTGTTCAGGAGGTCGAATCACTCCTAGAACTCAACTTTCAGCCAAATCTGATCCCGTAGAAAAAATCCGGCCTGTTTCCAGAAAATTGGGGTAGTAATAGTTGAATAGTGCCGTACTTTTGTATTTGCTGTACTGGGAGAGCTTGTTTCGTTCCCACCGTTCCCCACATGTGCTCTCAAACCATAAGATCTTCATTTCTGATGTCTGATGATGTCAAATAATTAAAGAACTAGGTAAATCGGCCAAACAGAAGTGTTTCAGGGACTCATATGAAGTGTTTTGAATAAAAGCAAAAATTTTTGAGAGCCAAGGATTCCAACATGCGACCTTGTGTCTCTGAAGCAGTGTGCCTATCCACTACGCCATCGGCCGCTTCGCCGCATGCAGTTATCGTTCTCAACTTGAGCGAACAGAGCAGAGATTAAATGGTCCGTAACTCCTTTCAGAGAATCGTTCCGCAAATTCCGAGGGCAGATTTGGATTCAGCGGCTCAAGACACGTCCATATATATGCATCTCATTGCAAATGGCCTCCACACACTCCAAGTTGTGCCTTATTACAACAACGATAAATTGTTTTATGCAAGACATCGAGGAAATCGGATACTCATTTCGAATAGCTACAAACGTCAAATTCTTGAGCACTGTCACAATCCTATTCATATCAATAAATGTGTGAAGCAGAAACGTAAATACATACTGCACATCTTATAAATGCTGTACAAGCATTACACACAACAGATCGTTTCACACAAACTAATAGTCATCAGAAGTGATACACACGCCTGGATTCTAATCACAAACCCTGCCCTATATCAGGAACATTCCAGAAGCGCTGTGATTTTAATTTGCGAATTTGTTCTTAGTTGTGTTTCTACGCTCATTGTTTGAACCTTGTGTCCTGACAGTTATTTTTTCTTTCTGGCACAGTCTTGTTTTAGCGCGTTATACTCCCTTGATAGTTCCATTAGAGCACCTGATGTTGACACCTGAGCCTTGTTGGAGCTGAAGGATCTACTAAGTTGGTACCCGAAGAAGATTGATAGATTGAAGGTATTGCTTGCAGCTGGTGCTCTGCACACCTACTTGCTCCGATGTAGAAGCCCTGCCGCGCTCTTTATCTTCCCATTGCTGGTGCCAGCGCTGTGCGTGAGCATTATATCAGATCTATTCAGGTATGATCTTAACAGATAATAACATATACACCGCATTTTATTTAGAGCAGACTCACTAGAATAACAAATAATGGGATGCAAAAATTCGGGTGCAAATTTTGACAGTGATATAATTGTTAGTGTTTTGTAAATCACACTACCTTCATCTTCAACCAGAATGACTGTTTTGACATCTTGATGAGCACGAGGAGCAAACCTCACCGCTCACGCCCTGTTGAGTGACGCCTTACTACAAAGCCAGGAATGACACTAGCGAAGTGCGAATCATCTCACTGGTCTGCTATAACTGTTGCTGACAGCCTTTGATCAACCTTTGTCGAAACTCTGGTTGCAGTTTTCGTTTCCATATTTTTTTTACCAGCGCCTCTGGCTGAATCGATCTACCTGGGCTTCCGTTCAAGCTTTCACGCAAATGAAAGCCTTCCTGGTCAGTGGAATTGTTCCCAACTGCTAACCTATCGATGCATGCAGAACTGCGGTTATTGGAATGACCTCAGCAATGCAGCTGTGGTAAAAAAGGCGAAGTCAAAAAGATTTGCTACTATATTAAATACTCGTTACAAGATACCGAACAGTGTACATCGAAACACTAAATCAAGACATAACACACACTGCTTCACATTAATTCGCAGCAAGATGATAATTAGCTGTGGACTAACGAAACAGAGAGATCATAGCCCGTCGACCAATACAAGAGAGATTCTTGACTGTTCAAATTCATAGGACCGCATGCGTTGTAGCGTCACAGAAAATCCCAATTTTCGCCAGCGTAGCACTCTTATTTCGGTTTATTTCGGTCAGAAAATAACGATATCGACCCTACTTTATACAATTGTACACGTCTTGCTTCTATTCTTCAGCTGCCTGTGTGCAATTTTTCGATGAGCTTCCGTTGTAGGCACTGCAAGTGATGGTTCCGAGTGCTGAAACAATTCACGAATGTGCGTCGTGAACTAGTGGATCACTAACAATGCCATTTCGAGTTTTACACTATTTGCAATAAACTAAGTTGAAAGTTGCATTTTCTCCACGGGTCAGAGCCAGAGAAAATCCAAATCTTATAGTTTAGTGACAGTGTGACATAGAAATTTCCTGCTTCTCCACGTTCGTCTCGAAGACGGTAAATATCGTGCGACAAGTGCGATATATGGTCTGGTGGGCAGTGGATATCGGGGGTCAGAGCATCGAACTGTGAACACATGGTGAGCCTGAGGATGAATTCTCGAGGAAGTAAGTCTTCACGGTGAGTTATCAGCTCCATAAGCGTCGAAGGTTGGAATTTATTACGAGAGAGCGCAGGCTAGAGTGGTCGGTGATCACAGGGAGCAAGAATTTCGCTGCGCATAATTACGATTACTGTTTTAGTACGTCACACACCCGCCCCCCCCCCCTGCTGCCCCTCAAACAGCAGATTTTGAGCTCACTGAGCAAGGATGTGGTGCTCCACTCCCGAGTCGCAACTCGCACGCTCGCTTCTTTCCCAGCTAGGCAGTTTCCCAGCAGGCCAGCGAGATTTGTGGAGAAACATAGTCGACTTGAGGGCACAGGCGCAGAAAGTTCCGCAGCGCGCGCACCACTGCTACGTTGAATGGATTGGATCTTGGTGAGAGTGTTGCGTACGTCACCCCACTTGCAACATTTATTTTGCCGCACCCGCCGGAGGTAACGCTGCGCACCCTTCTGCTAGGTTCGTTGGTCCAAAAAATGAATATAAGCAACGACCGAATGGAGCAATCGTTTGTACTACTGAGAGATCCTACTGTAATTCTTTTTGGATGACATTTGGACATAACAATGAACGATACTGCTGTCTTCAGACGGTTGAGTGAACAGTTGTCACTCTCTGATGATAGCCGGCCTATACGTTCCCTATCCACACTATATAAGATCTGTACGTCTGCCTGCTTATCTGTCCGGGAATTCGGTTCAACTGCTCTGAGAGTTAGGGTGAGGTGTGGCAGCAACAAGAGGGAGCCAGTCCCAAAATGTGATACAGGTGATACAGGGGGAGGATGGGAGACCCTATTGTTGGGTGACAGAACGCTACCACAGCTGACAAGATCCGATAAGAGGCTGTAAAAGAGGAAAGGAGGAAAGTCGCTAAAATCCACAGCGGGTGTCGCAGCATCAGTGAGGCAATGGTTGTAGCTGCTTCAGTGACATGAAGGGTGAGATGAGGACATCAACAAAGAGTGACAAATAGCGATAACGCTGAAACGGGCTGACAAGGGACGTGGCGGTTGTGTTCAAGGATGATGGAGCTTCACTAGCAAATTAGAAGATTCAGTGATAGGAACACTGATGACGGGGTGACAAGTGATTAGATCAATTGGTAAGGATAGACAGAACCATTTTCTCTACACTACTTCCTACCACTGTTCTGTTAAGTATCAGGTATCTGTGATTGGACTCACTATGGGCCCTCGTGTGCATGTGAGGATGTCGAGGAAGGGTGGGAAAGGGTCTATTGTCCGACGGAAAAATCAGTAAATCTGTAATTTTTTCCCGAAGATTTGCTGGGTTTTCACAACGAGGGTGACTATGATGGGTTAGAGGCTCTCGCATTCGAGTCAAAAGTGGGGAACCAACGGCTTATAATGAGGACGTCTTGTCGGCGGTACCATGCAGATTCCTCTTGATCAAGACAAAGTTATGTTCTGCAGTTCACAACCGCCCATGGCTCCACAGTTCAGTTGTGCCTCTTCCGTAGGTAAGCGCTGTATGTTACGCTGCTCGTTTGGACTGCCTCACCTTGTTGCATTCGCATATCAGACTGAGGTCATTAATTGAATGGAGTAGCCTTCTTCCGGCGAGAAGTCAAGAATTAGCGAAGAGACCGATGGATACTTGTTTTTCTATATTTTCTTCGAAAAAGGCTCTGTGACCGCCGTTTGGCCACAAAGTCAGAGACATTTTGCGTATAGTAGCTCGCTGTCCAGCGAAGCAGTCATGGCATGCAAGGATGAGCACTCGGCGCGATCCGACCGGTCTTTGTATAAGATATTTCTAGCTCCCAGCGCTGACACTAACGGGATATTGGAGCATGATATCCTACTACTCTTGTGATGACTGAGTGGTAGCTGAGACGCTTTCGAATGAGAAACTGCTTTTGGAACATTTCTGACCAGTTTATAAAATGACGAACCTGCTCCTTGACAGCTGTTTGCACTTGATACTGAACGATACGGTAAGTGCCGATCAAAGCGTTCCGTGGGCCACGTTCGTTCGAGTCTTCAAGCATCTGCTCTGTGATACCGTAGCTGTTCATGATAGCCCACACCTTTAACAGAACAAGTGTTTTATAGGGTCCAGGAGATATTTTGCACTTGAAGGGTATTTTCCCAGGAG